TGAGCTCCCCTGAGTTGGCCCTGCCTTCCCACTAGTTGCTCAATCACTATTTGAAGGAGTAACTTAGCATTTCAACTACAGTGAGGTTATATGTTAAGGTTAGACACATTAAAAATCTCATAAAAGGTATTTAGAGAGAGAGCCAAACTTATCTATACTTGTGATTTGATTTGTAAAGTTATCTGTTGTACTGTTAAAAATGTTGGACTCAGTTTGACTGATTTAAACAACAGCAGTATAAATTAAAAACAACCCCCATTTAAAAGAAAAAAATTGGTTTTCTGAGTGTGTGTGAAAATCACCTGAATTAATCCCAAGCAGATTTAAAATCGGTCCACCTGTTAAAGCCGCAGACAAATATTATATACAATGCTGCATTTCTACGTTTAATTATCTACAAAATAAAATGAGGTAGTATTTTTACAAATGGCTTGTAAATTCTTGCAAATAGACGTGTGTTGTTGCATTGTCTACTTAAAAGAGTGGCTAAAACAACAATTCAAACAATATAAGAGTGTTCAAAAACTAATGGTGATTTTCTTAGGCTTACTCCTGAGTATACTATTCTCTAGGAAGGTTGCCTGTAGTGAACTTTATAGCTGTGATTTAATTTACCCCTACTATTTTTTTTCTTAGTTAATTATTTCATACAGTTGTATAATCAATTGGATGCCCTGTTAAGCCCACCAAATCTACAGTTGATTCTTAGAATGGCCAATATATAGAAAATCAGTCTTTATGCAGAATGTAACAAGTTATTTATTTGCAAGTAGAACTTAGAAACTGTGTATGAAGTCCTGACTGTGGTAAAATATTAGAAGCTTAATTGCTAACTTAGTAAAATAAAAACCTTCTTTATCTTTTAAAATATGACCAAAGGAAGTCAGTGCATGCATTTTTCTCTTTCGTGTTACTGTGCCATACGTGCCTGCCTTGCAGGTGTAGTAAAACTTGTTTTTCACATAAAGACCTCAATGACCAAATTTGGTTTGTATGACTGAAAGAAGAAAACAGCACATAGTTTAAAACACTTAATGAACAATCTGCCATATGCTACAATCCTCAAGTAATTAGTATATTCCTCTATCCGCCAGTTATAGGAAATTCTGCAATTAGTTTTGCCAGATACACTTCTTGGAAAGCTAGAACTGTTTGTGCTTCACATTAAGGCTTGGTTGAATGCAGCTGAAACAAGTTATTTGAAATTCATTCTTATAAGAGATGAATTGTTTTGTTGTTAAAAACACTTGTTATTATTTTCATCTAAAGAGGAAAACTAACATGTAAGGATCAATAATAAGAAATCTTTAATAAATGAGTATTGAAGCCAGCTCAGATCATTAGGGAGCAAACTGATATGAACCAACAGGTTTTACACTGCTGTTATAAGTGGATAAAGATCCTTTCTTTCTCTATACTGAATGAAAGTCTTGTAACAGGATGAATTCCCCTCTTCTGAGGGTATTGCAATTTGACTAGACAGGTAGTACAGGACATGTTCTGTGACAGTGTAAGGAAGATAATCTGTTAAGGGATCTGAAAGTTAGAATATACTAATGAGACTTCTCTATGGTAAATCTAGCATGGTAAATCTCTACTTCTGCTTCCTTGTGTGTAACACTTTATTTCAAATAGGAGAACCTGCTTCTATATTTTCTTTTCCAGATTTCTTAATTAAGTTTAAATCAGACTTATCTTGTAAGCATTTTATTGTTTTTGTTTGTTTGTTTGTTTTTGTTTTTGTTTTTTTTTTAATCTTCAATACATAGTAACTGTGGAGATAAAAATGTGGTGTTATTTTGAGACTGGGTGTTACAGGAAAAGTCTTTTCCTGCTTTCCCATTGTAATGACAGCTGCTTTTTTGTTGAGTGTTAAGGATTTTCTTTTCTTTTCTTTTCTTTTCTTTTCTTTTCTTTTCTTTTCTTTTCTTTTCTTTTCTTTTCTTTTCTTTTC